TGTTTCGACGCACTCTAAACGTGTTTCGACGCACTCTAAACGTGTTTTGACGAACTCTAAACATGTTTCGAGTGCGTCCAAACGCAAGAGATGGCATTCTAAACATTAAAAGAGACGACATTCCAAACATTGACGGAAGTGATTAAAAAAGATAACAAGTTCCGTTGGGGAGAAGCGCAAGAGACGACATTTCAAACATTAAAAGGGAAGTTGATCGACTCTCCACTGACTCTACCTAATTTCGAGAAAACATTTGAGATCGAATGTGATGCTTCTGGTGTAGGAGTTGGTGCGGTGTTGATGCAAGAAGGGAGGCCAGTTGCATACTTCAGCGAGAAGTTGAACGGAGCTCAATTGAATTATTCGACTTATGACAAAGAGATGTATGCAATGGTAAGGGCTCTGCAAACGTGGCAACACTACTTGTGGTCGAAGGAGTTCGTGATTCACACCGATCATGAATCGCTCAAGTACCTAAAGGGACAACACAAGTTGAGTCGAAGACATGCCAAGTGGGTAGAATTCATTGAAATGTTTCCTTATGTTATTCGACATAAGCAAGGTAAGGAAAACATTGTGGCTGATGCATTGTCTAGACGATACACGTTGTTAACTTCTTTGGATGCGAGAATGCTAGGGTTTGAACATATTAAGGAGTTGTACGAATCTGATCAGGAATTCCAAGATGTATTCAAGGCATGTGAAAAGGTTGCAAGTGGAAAATATTATCGGTTTGAAGGATATTTATTCCGTGAGAATAAACTTTGTGTGCCTAACTGTTCTATGCGGGATTTGCTTATTCAAGAGGCTCATGGAAGCGGTCTCATGGGACATTTTGGAGTGGCCAAGACCTTGTCAACTTTGCAGGAACACTTCTATTGGCCAAATATGAAGAGAGATGTTGAACGGGTGTGTGGAAGATGCATGAAGTGCAAGAAGGCGAAATCCAAGGTACCACCCAATGGTATGTATACGCCTTTACCGATTCCGAGTGCACCATGGATTGATATTTCAATGGATTTCATTGTTGGATTGCCTAGAACTAGGACAGGGAAGGATTCTGTGTTTGTTGTGGTTGATAGATTTTCGAAAATAGCACATTTCATCCCTTGTCATAAAACCGATGATGCATCCCATATTGCGGTTTTGTTCTTTCGAGAAATTGTTCGGTTGCATGGCATGCCTAGGACGATTGTTTCGGATAGAGATACTAAGTTCCTAAGTTACTTTTGGAAGACTCTATGGGGAAGATTAGGGACTAAGCTACTCTTTTCGACGACTTGTCATCCACAAACCGATGGACAAACGGAAGTAGTGAATAGGACTCTTTCTACATTGTTGCGTGCTTTAATTAAAAAGAACCTTAAAATGTGGGAAGACTGTCTACCGCATGTTGAGTTTGCATATAATCGATCTGTGCATAGTGCTACGTGTTACTCGCCTTTTGAAATCGTTTACGGTTTTAATCCACTAACACCATTGGATCTTTCGCCATTGCCGATGAGCGAAATGACTAACCTTGAGGGAAAGAACAAGGCTGAGTTTGTAAAACAGATTCATGAAGCGGTCCGCAAGAATATTGAGCGATGCACGGAGCAATACGCTAAGCAAGCAAACAAAGGGCGCAAGGAAGTTACGTTTGAGCCAGGAGACATGGTGTGGATTCATATGCGCAAGGAAAGGTTTCCAAATCAGAGGAAGAGCAAGCTTATGCCGAGGGGAGATGGACCATTCAATGTTTTCGAACAAATCAACAACAATGCCTATAAGATTGAACTTCCAGGTGAGTACAACATTAGCTCTACGTTTAATGTTGTTGACTTAGCTCGTTTTGATGCAGATGATAATTCGGATTTGAGGGCAAATCCCTTTCAAGAGGAAGGGAATGATGAGGACATCGGGAAGCACGGGAGAGACGACAAGAGAACGGGAGCTGGAGATTCTCAAGCGGATCGAAAGGAGCTCTTGGAACAGAAATTGAAGAGTGACGGTCCCATAACTCGCGCCAAGGCAAAGAGGTTGAAGGAAACATTTACAATGCTACTTCAAGAAGAGTTTGGGCTTCAAAATCAAGTGGGATCAGCCCAAACTCAAGCCCATGCCTTGGTTAACCTACTTGAAGCCCAAATCAGCCTAAATGAAGCAAAATAAGTCCAAAAGAATGCTTGAAAAGTCATGAAGAAGAGGAGTTACGAAAATTCTGGTCTTTTTGCAATAAATGTGGTCATATTTGACTACCTTGGAAATTACGATTGCATGGTTTTTAGTGTTCTTTGTTTTCAGCAAACTCTTTTATTTTTTTTAGTTTTTCAATGTTTCCTTTCCTTATAAAAAGGGAGCATCTATCATGTAAAACTCAGATTATTGAATTGAGAGGTTTTTTCTTATGTTCTTGAGTACTAACTCTAAACTTCGTAAGGTTTGAGGTAGTGTTCTTTTGACTTATCAAACACTTTTACCACCAGGTGTTTGTGGCGTCTTCGCTCGTTTCAAAGGTTCTCTAACCGGGTCTGGATTGGGTTTAGGGCGTTCTTGTGACTGGAACAAGTCCTAGGTTCGGTTCACGTGTCGTTAGTGGGTTTTTGAACATCCATCGACTATCTTTCTTACCTAATTTGAGAATCGTCGATCCCGGGTTCGTATCACATGTTTAGAGTTCGTATAAACTTGTTTAGAGTGCACCGAAACATTTTTAGAGTGCGTCAAAACATATTTAGTGTACGTCGAAACATGTTTAGAGTTCGACGAAACATGTTTAGAGTGCATCGAAACATATTTAGAGTGCATCCAAACATGTTTACAGTGCGTCGAAACATATTTGGAGTGAGTCGAAACATATTTAGAGTGCATCGAAACATGTTTAGAGTTCGTCTGAACTTGTTTAGAGTGCACCGAAACATGTTTAGTGTGCGTCCAAACACATTTAGAGTGCATCCAGACATGTTTAGAGTGCGTCAAAACATACTTAGAGTGCATCCAGACATGTTTAGAGTAAAAATCGAAACATTTTTAGAGTGCGTCGAAAGATTTTTAGAGTGCATCTAAACATACTTAGAGTGCATGCAAACATGTTTAGAGTGCATCGAAACATTTTTAGAGTGCGTCGAAACATATTTAGAGTGCGTCGAAACATGTTTAGATTTGTCTAAACATGTTGAGAGTGCGTCCAAACATGTGTAGAATGCGTTTAAACAAATTTAGAGTGCGTCCAAACATGTTTGGAGTGCGTTTGGACGCACTCGAAACATGTTTAGAGTTCGTCAAAACACGGTTAGAGTGCATCGAAACATACTGAGTGCATCCAAACATATTTAGAGTGCGTCTAAACATACTTAGAGTACATCCAAACATGTTTAGAGTGCGTCGAAATATACATAGAGAGCATTGAAACATGTTTAGAATGCATCGAAACATTTTTAGAGTGTATCGAAACATTTTTAGAGTGCGTCGAAACATGTTTAGAGTGTATTTAAACATATTTAGAGTGCGTCGAAACATATTTAGAGTGCGTCGAAACATATTTAGAATTCGTCTAAACATGTTTAGAGTGCGTCAAAACACGTTCAGAGTGAATCCAAACACATTTAGAGTGCATCCAAACATGTTTAGAGTGTTCGAAACATACTTCGAGTGCATCCAAACATGTTTAGAGTGCATCGAAATATTTTTAGAATGCATCCAAACATACTTAGTGTGCATCCAAACATGTTTAGAGTGTATTAAAACATTTTTAGAGTGCGATAAAATATATTGAGAGTGCGTCGAAACATGTTTAGAGTTCGTCTAAATATGTTTAGAGTGCACCAAAACACGTTTAGAGTGTCAAAACATACTTAGCGTGCATCCAAACATGTTTAGAGTGCATCCAAACATGTTTAGAGTGCATCCAAAGATGTTTAGAGTGCATCAAAACATTTTTAGAGTGCGTCGAAACATTTTTAGAGTGCGTCCAAACATGTTTAGAGTGCATCCAAACGTGTTTAGAGTGCTTCGAAACATCTTTAGAGTGCGTCGAAACATATTTAGAGTGCATCGAAACATGTTTAGAGTTTGTCTAAACATGTTTAGAGTGCATTCAAAAACGTTTAGAGTGCATCCTAACATGTTTAGAGTGTTGAAGAGCAAAAGAGTAACAAGCATGACACGAGAAGACTTGAGGAGCAAGGAAGCATGGAAACAACAATGGAAGAATTGATGTTGTTGCAGGTGGAAAACCATGTCATTGGAGGAATTAATATGCTCAGCATATACCAAGGACGAAATTCATACTTTGGTGGTGCATTATTCCTCCTCTCCAAGTTGAACCAAGTGTCAACCATGCACCAAGATATTGAATGCTTTCTCCATCTCCAAATCTGCCAACTACCGCATTTAATGCTCCTGGTCATGCAAGTCTCCAACAGCTAGTTTATTCAATTCTCTTCCCAACTACCTAGTTATTAAATGTTTATTGTAACAGCTAGTTTCTCTCCTATAAAAAGGAGATATCTTGTATCATTTTAGATAAGAAATAGAGACTTAAGGAAATCTGAGTTATTTCCCCTCTATCCTTATTTTGTTCTTATCTCCTACGTTTCGTTATTCACATTCCATCTCTTCCACAAACACAAAATTCTACATGGTATCAGAGCATTAAGGTCCAAGACCTCTCTGTTATAAATTTGTTTTTCTTCCGCTGCATAAACCGAGCAAATTCCCTCTTATCTTTGGTTGATAGAAAGAGGAGCCTGTTCGTGTATTCAATTCTATTTCTACCTTCTTTGGCCATTCTTTCAAGCCAACGGGAGTCATATTTTTCAAGTTTTTCGTTGGCCTCTCACGATTAACCATTTTTCTAAGTTCATTTCGGTTCTTATATCCAAAACCGAGTGAACCGTTTTTGTTTTGTCACCTCCACAGAATTCTCATTCTTTTGAACAGTTTCAATCCACTAAACTTATATGTGGAATTCTTGGGATGTGAATTATGGTCCTTTAGAAGACGAGGAAGGAAATCATTGCACATATTGTGTAGATGAACATGGTAATGTCGAAGAGTATTGGTCTTCCAAAGAATCCATTGAAGCATGGCAAAAACTATCCATAGAGGAGATAGCAGCCACATGTGTGGATGAAGACCCCTTTTTCGAGCAAAAAGATGAGAAGGAATGTGTTGTGGACGACAACGTCTTTGATCATCTCCCATCGGATATCAAGGAGGCTTTACTCTCAACGATCAAAGACTGCAACATACGGTTAACTCCTTCTCTCCTTGAATCCCTCTTTAATTTAATGAGTTTGTTCAAATGATGGAAAAAATGCAGGAAGAGAGCACAATAGAGCTGATCGTAAAGGAAAAGGCGACTGGAAACAAAGTGGAAGGAGGACACAAGCAAGAAACCTCATTGGAGAGCCACAAAGAGGACACAACGTCCCAAGAGAATCAACCATATGAGGAGACTATGCCTTCTCCTATCCATGACACACATATTCGGTTGAATCCTAATCCTTTATCCCTTACAATAAAATCTAATGATATTGTGTTTGCAAGGGCAAACACACATTACATTTCGGGGCCATTGAAGGTGGTTGACATCAAAGAGGAGGAACATGAGTACGAACACATGGATGTTGTATTGGCAAACTCCAAAGAGGAGGCAATGAACCTCAATAACGAGGACCCAAACACATCTGAGATAAAGCTCTTTCCATCTCCTCAACAAAATCTGGGAATCCAATTCATAAGCACTAGAGTTTGTAATCTTTTCTCTTATCCTTTCATTTTCTCTTATCCTATACAGTTTGATTTCTTTTATGAAGATAACGTTTGTGGGTTGCTAAGTGTTCTTACACAGCCTTTACATGAGGATCTATTCACGCTTTCCAAACACGAGTCAGGGGGAATGTCATTGTACCCTCTTGTGCTTTTCAACCTTAAAGATTGCATCAACTGGACAAACAACAAAGAAAAGACTCAAGAACACAAATCAAATCCGGTCCATTTCTACCTCTTCATCTCTTTCGTTTTATTCTCACGATGTTTTGTTTGCAAGAGAGGACACAAATCAAATATCGGTGGCATTGGAAGCGGATGATACAAAATAAGGGAACAAGGAAAACACATATTTGGTTGAATTAGAAGACCTCAATGAGAAGGCAAAGACCCTTGATGTGGCACCAAAAACATCCGAGATGCAGTTGTTTCTATCCCCTCAAAGAAATCCAAGCACCACAATCATATGGTTAATCACTAGAGTTTGTGATCTTTTCTCATGTCCTATGAAACTTGATACATTTTTTCAAGATAACATTTGTGGGTCTTTAAGTATTACTCAACAGTCCTTAAATGAGGAATTGTTCAAACTTTTCAAGCACACGAGCGAGGGGGAACGTGATGGTACTCTCGTATGCTTTCTAAGCAAAAGAAATGCAAGAAATGGAGAAACATCAAAGAAAGAAACCAAAAACAGAAATCTGTGCAAAATGGAGTATGAATTGCCTATGAGTTTCAACAACTCTAGGCTTGGTAAATTTTCATCTCATTACTTTGTATTTGATCCTGGTGCATCTTATAATAAGCATATGTGTTTTGATGGAAAACAAAACATCATCATTACTAACATGTTTGATTATGCATTTGATACATGTAAAAAGAAAGATATCATGTTTAATGCATCTAATGTGCATTTCAATCATATGTTCTTCGAAGAAAACCATCAACTAAAGCTGTATGCATGCCTATTATCAAATCTGAAGTTTAAACTTATTAGGACACTTTTTCTATTGTTATTTGATGATAATCACATTTTTACATCATTACATCTGATTTCTCTTATTAAGCGGGGTGATATGGCCTCCCTTGTGGTTTCTAACGATTTTAATGAGTTATTACAGAAAATCAAACAGAACGGACAAAATGGAAGATTGAAACCGATGGAATCGCAAAGGAATGAGCCTGGACGCTTGAAGACTGAGAAATACATTCTCTTGGCAAGATTAATCTTTCGAAAATTCTCCACGTTAATCTTGAGGGGGAATGTTGAAGAGCAAAAGAGTAACAAGCATGACACGAGAAGACTTGAGGAGCAAGGAAGCATGGAAACAACAAAGGAAGAATTGATGTTGCTGCAGGTGGAAAACCATGTCATTGGAGGAATTAATATGCTTAGCATATACCAAGGACGAAATTCATGCTTTGGTGGTGCATTATTCTGTTGGTTGTAATGCTCTAGGATGATCCATCATATGACATTTTACTTTGTATTGATTCATTGATTTATGAATGCATTATTTATCCATTATACGATTAGCATGTTTGTTGTATTTCGGCATCCTTGAATCATTAGAGAATGATTCTAAACTCCCTAGTCAGTCATCATTGTGGGAACAATGTTGAATCAAGACTAGCATGAGGTGTGATCAACGCATTGGATGCAGATCACAATCATGGGTACTCGTTATGAACGAGTGACTGGATGACCCGCATGAGATTGTCACATGGACAGAGTCATGACTTGAATCTCATACAGCGGTTCGTTTATGGATCCTCATACCTGAGTGTCTAGAGTATCTGATATGAGGAGTGGCGTGTCTTGACTGCGTCAAACGTCGTCTTTAACCGGATGATTATAACGGCGTTGATCAGATACGTTCACGAATCATATGGAGATAGTAGACATGCAATATGGGACTTGTCACCTCCTTAACAGGAGAGATATCGCTGGGCCCCCTCGTGGAAGTCGGACTATGAAAACGCGTGGCCACGCTATAGATGAAGTTGCATCTATTTTATTAGTCAATTTGCCAAGACGAACTTGAAGGGTGGCTCAAACCATGCCCTTGTTCAACGTATGATATCGTGAGACAAAGGATCAGAATTCGAGCTGTTAATGCCTTGGTTAGATCACCTCTAACTCAATTCTAAATGGGTGGTCATGGCGTCTTGCTAGAGGCTAACCATGACTTGTGGTTCTGGAAAGGTTCCTAAAGTCACTACCACTTAGAATGGGCCTACAGGGTCACACACCAATAGGGATGGACTTATACGTGAAGAATACGAAGAATGGAAATGAGGTTTGACCGAAACGAGCATGAAAAGGAGTTTTCAGTGCGTTGGTCCGGAGCTGACCAAGTTTGGTCAGCCCCGGACCAAGTCGGTCAGCCCAGGAGGTCCGGAAGTCAGTCAGGAGGTCATCTGTCCAAGTCTGGTCCGACTGACCAAGAGTTGGTCAGCCGCGGACCAGACAGCGTGTCAGACGGACCGAGACTGAGACCAGGCGGACCAGAAAGACCGAGAAGGGTCTTGGTCCGGAGCTGACCACACGTGGTCTGCCGGACCAAGCCTTCAGGTCAGCCCTATTTTACTAGTCGATTTGCGAAGATGAGAAAGCAGTTGAACTTGAAGGGTGGCTCAAACCATGCCCTTGTTCAACTTATGATATCGTGAGACAAAGGATCAGAATTCGAGCTGTTAATGCCTTGGTTAGATCACCTCTAACTCAATTCTAAATGGGTGGTCATGGCGTCTTGCTAGAGGCTAACCATGACTTGTGGTTCGGGAAAGGTTCCTAAAGTCACTACCACTTAGAATGGGCCTACAGGGTCACACACCAATAGGTATGGACTTATACGTGAAGAATACGAAGAATGGAAACGAGATTTGCCCGAAACGAGCATGAAAAACAGTTTTCAGTGCGTTGGTCCGGAGCTGACCAAGTTTGGTCAGCCCCGGATCAAGTCGGTCAGCCCAGGAGGTCCGGAAGTCAGTCAGGAGGTCATCTGTCCAAGTCTGGTCCGACTGACCAAGAGTTGGTCAGCCGCGGACCAGACACTGGGACAGGCGGACCGAGAAAAGA